ACACTCTTTTGAATATCAGCCTTAAAGATTTTCTTAAGATCCTATTGATCTTACCTGCTCTAGTACTTGACATTCCCCAAAGTTCACTGCCATACATTAATGTAGGCACAAGTACACATTTTACTAAGATAGCCTTGAATGTAAGGGGGATGCAGCTGTTTACCAGTTTTGGCATCAAGGTATCTAAAGTTTTCTTGCCACGCATTGCTGCATCATTGACAATATGTTCTTCTAGTGTGTTTTTCGTTATCAGCACACCTAGATATCTATATTCTGTGACTTCGTCAATGTCACCAAAGTCTGTAGGGATTGAAAACAAACTTCTGTTTACTGGAGCACTATTATGAACAGACCATTCTAATACTCCACTTTTTCTGCAGTTGATTCAGTACTATCTCCATTAATTATTTATTGAATCCACTTAACATGAATTTAAAGTAATTGCTTTCTACTTAATTTATAAGTAGATGTCAAAGAATAGCAATCATTAAAATAAAATCATTTATTAAATACAAATTCCTTTATAAAAACACTTTAGGTTTCGCACTTTCTATGGATCTAGAACAATAACATTTCTAAACTTTGTAGAAAAGTCAAATTTTTGAATTTAAATTACAGTTTTTACAAAAAGACTGAAAATTGTTAAAATTGTATTTTTCAAGTTTAATTTCTTATTTTTGCAAAATTATTAACGTAAAGCCTTTTTAATTAAAAAATAAACTTTATAAAATGAAAATAGATCATATTGTATATTTGTTTTAATTAAATAAGTTCAAAATTTAAAAATAAACATTTTTAATGTAGATAGTCAGTAAAATCAAGATACTTTTCTCCAAATATAACCATATCTCCACAAAAAGATTTAACATTTTGTAGGGCTTCTTTGATCTTTTCACTACATTCAAAAATAAGATCATCATCTTGTTGTAAAAAATTATTTAAATCTTCATCAGTAATTTTTGGATCATCCTTAATATAAAAACATATTGCTTGTTTAGTAAGAGCTAGTACAGGTTGATCCTCATAATGTTTTAATTCATTACATGCATCGCGAAATTTAATATAACTCTCTCTTGTTGGAACAATTCTTTCAAGACGACTAAGATTATGAGAATCTATGTACTTTTTATAAATTCTAATTTTTTCATTCAGCCTATAAATACAATTCCAATTATCTTTCTTACACTCGATAATTCTAAATAACATTCTTAAGATCGGCAAATCTTTTTCTATCACTAGCCTGTCATTTACTACAAATATAATTTTAGTGACAGGTTTTGTAAATGTAGCACTTGCAATATCATGGGCTTGTTTCATTAAAGATTCTTTTTCAGTATTATCCCCTGAACTATAATACTTTGAACACCAGTAAGGCTCTTGCGTTTTGATCCTGCCCTTTTCTAATATAAAATCAACAATTTCTTCCATTTTTGAACATTCAATGCCTTCATTTAAATCTAAATCAAATAAATTGATGTATTTTGAGAATACATTAGAATAAAAAGCTGCTTTTAATTCAAATCCTAACACGTTTATAAAAAGAAATGTAATGATTTTCATATAGCGAGGGTAAAAAGTTATTTAAATAGAAAAAAAATAAAATTTAATTTGTAAAATGTGATCAAAATACAAAAATGTTGATAAGAATTTTGGAAAATTTCTATTTTTAAGTGATCTTAAATAAAATTTAATTAAAAAACATATTAAAATACTTTAATTATACTTAAATAATGATTTAATTAATTTTACAAAAATGAAATTTTAAATCAAATTTGTTTTTTAAAAAGAATATATATAGACATTAGTGATAGTAGTCTATTATTTATCAATTATCGAGATTTTTTAATTATTCAAAAACCTTTTTTTTAATTTTTCTCATATTATCACTGTGGCATAATTTGTCCTCTTATATAACTCTTTGGAGCTAAAGTTTCTTAAAACATTTTGTATTCAACATGCTTTTTAAAACAGAATTTTTACAAATAAATATTTTTAATAAATAACCCTTAACTTAAAAATCATAACAAGAATGATTATTGAGGAAATACAAACTTATATAAATTTATGCATTTAAAATTGCTAAAAATAAGCATTAAAACAAGATTAAAGGTATTTGTTATAGACCTGTGTCAAGTAGCCAAAACGAAAGTTTATTTCTAATAAAGAGTTAATAATTTTATTGTTTAAGGTCTTTTTTAAGTTACCTGTATTTATAGTAGTTTCGTTTCTCAGATAATTTTTCATTACTCTTCTTTTTTAAAATTTTTTATTTATAAAAAAATCATAAATTTGGCGTGAAAATAGGAAAATAATAGTTTAATTAAAAATGTGATAGATAAACAATTTTATTTAAAGGGGATTTAATCTGGGTAATTTTGTAAAATTTCTGCGTGTACAAAGAAAAAGTGTAAACACACCATTTTTTATGTACGCACTCGTTATATTTCCATCTTTAAAGTTATTAATATATGATTAACGGATGCGTCATAGAGCCTTTCAGCAAAAGATTAACCGACTATATTAATTATATATTAAGAATAATGCATTAATAATATTTATAACTTTAATTATAAATGATTTAACCCAATAAATGGAGATAACTGTATATTTGAAATAGAAGAAAAGAAAATTGGTAAAAACAAGCAATATAGGTGACACGTTATTGCTAGATTGGGCTATTAGAATGATAGAAAGGTTGTTATTAAAAGGGTAGAACAAATAAACGCTGATACTCTAACACCTTACACTCTTCCACATGTTTATTTAAATTTCGCTAAATATTTCGATGGCTAGCGTGGATATTTAAGTAATGGTAGTTATTTTAAAATTTTCTGTAGTCAATCATTAGTTGCATATTTAAGAATCAGAAACCAGTTTTCACACCAATACAATTGGAAAAAAATTAAATATTTTTTTTGCGTCAATCTTATTAGGAATAACAACACATTACTTGTGAAGTTATTTTATTCGATATATGTGTGTGAGAAGCGAAAGAAAGAGTACGTCTGAAAAATTAGTAAAATATTTCTTTAAACTGTTTTTTTTTTAAAAAATATTTTTATTAAGATCAACTTTTTAAATTATTTTTCATCTTTTTTTTTATTAAAAAAAACAAATATTAAATTTTAAATACATTGCAACTTACTTTTTGTATCATAGATACTTCAATTTATCCAAAAGTTGTATTGAAATTTTTTTAGCTAATTTTTGATCTTTTTCCAAATTTAGGTAATGAATGTAAAGTTATTAAAATGTGACGATAGTGAATTTTTTTTAAAATTAATTTATAAAAGAATTTAACTTTTGCAAATAAAGAAAAAAATAATACCTTATAGTTTCAAAACTCCCCTTAAATAACTTTAAAATTTATGGTTGTACTGCATGTAGAAATCCATTTTGTATTAATTGCTGAAAAAAATAAAATTTTTTAACATTGAGTTAACTTACAATATAAAAGTTAAAGATTTTATTAATGCAGTAAACACTAATAATATAGAATTTGCCTGTTTTTTTCACCATAATTTTTCTTACAGATGAGTTAAAAAAGGTAAGTAATTTATGTTTCGTATTGTACATATTTTAAAGAATAATGCACATATTAATCCACTGCATTTTTTTCATGCGTTTTTTTATAAATAGTTTAAATGTTTGTGGTATAATTCTTATACCACATTTTAAGATGATGACCAATGATTAATAATATCACGTTGAAACGTCATTCGTTTTAATGATTAAATTAACATATTGGACCATTTGCTAAACAAATATGTTTATTGGTTTACTATAAATATAAATAAGAAAATTATTAATTTAACAATGACGAATCAAGGTAGCCACACAACAAAATTCTTCTACAAATACAAAGTCCGATTTCAATAAAAACACCTTACGTAAACATATTTCCCGCAGCATCCTAGAATGCTTTTTAGCCACAGGGACAATTTCTACCAAACACGCCAATGTTAAATTTAGCTGTTATTTTTTACATTTTAATTTTTAAATTTTTCATTTCACAATTATCCTTTTAGTTGTAAAGAAACAGTAAATTTAACATAGTCATAAAATTGTAAAGTTTTTAATTCTTAGTGTTTTTCAATAACCTCTTTAAATTTTCTAACATCATATTTTTACTAATTTTTTGATACTTGTAATTAAATTCTTTGTTTAATTAAAATATGAAAAAGAATTACAACGTAAAATAAAAATTATAAAAATTGATAATTTTCAAATATTTCTACACTATTGTAATCTGACAAATATTTTTTTTAATTATTTCACCCTTTTTATGAATGAAGATATTTTTTATAAACTGAATAATTTTCTTTTAAACCCAACACTAGAACAAACACTTTCTATTTTTGAAGCAGACGGGTATATCCGTCTCAATATGGTGTATATATCACCTATACACCTACAAATATTTAGAAATCATTTACTAAAGTTTGGTCTTGTAAAGATGTACATAAATAATCAAGGACTAGGATTTATTTTTAGGAATTTTAAATTGAATTTCTTTGGCAGTAATGTAATTACTTTTAAACAAGATACATCGAATCTAAGCACCCCTAAAATATGGTCTATAGAAATTACATTTGATCCTACTATAGACGATAATTGTGGTATCCCAGCTATGAATGAAATAGAACAGTTTCTACAACAATGTGATGCTCTCTTTTTTATGACATATTTTGTAGATATCGATAAAGAAATCCTTAATAGAAGTCTAGCAGACAGTGTTGATTTTATGTATAAAAGAAATATTTATAAAAAGAAATAAATTAAATTTGTATATTTTACTTACATTTTATAAGACTGGTAACAGTTAGAAAAATGTTTAGAATAGGTTTGTATTATCATTTATTTTTTTTTGTTTTACTACCCCACAATGGACAGAGCTAAAGAATTATTTACAAAGGTTTATGGTAAAATATTTGAATCATATGACTTTTTCTTTGGCAGATTTATACAACAGTTGTTTACTAAACCATCATCTATTTTATTTCTTGGTATAGATAATGCAGGTAAGACAACTCTTGTTAGGAAATTAAAACATGGTACAAATGAGACATATATGCCTACTCGTCATCCAAGTAGAACACAAATTGATATAGGCAATTTAAAGGCTACAGTCATTGATTTAGGTGGTCACAAGGCTGCACGCGTCGTGTGGACCAAATATTTTTACAACTGTGACGGAATAATTTTTATAGTCGATGTAAATGATACAGCAAGATTTGATGAAGTAAGAGAGACTTATAATGAAGTACGTAAATTAGAGAAGAAAGCTCCTATCGCCGTTTTAATGAATAAGATAGATATTGAGGGCAAGACTGAAAATGATGTGCAGTGGACAGAAGATATTAAGGCCCGCACTGGTATTTACGATTCACCTGGAAGTGAGACAGAACAGCCCGTAAATGTTGCTTGGGTGAGTATTGTACAAGAAAGTAGTGATGCACTAACTGGTCCTCTTGCTATGTCTTTTAAATGGCTTGAAATGATGATAAATAAAACAAGACAATAAACGTTTTAAAAATTAATATTTTAATTTACTGTAAAACCTTCCATAGACAGGTGTCTAATCATTCTTGAATCTTCTTTATGAAGTTTTGGGTTATTTGGATGGTTAATATTTTTTTCAATGCTTTCTAATTTTAAAAAAGGATATTCTGGATGTGTAACACGTATTCCTTGACTTATTAAATGCCTAGCCATTCTTAAATCTTCATGTCGTAAAGCTTTTTTTGTTACATCGCTAATAGAGAAGACACACTTTATAAAAAGTTGTATTAACATAAAACAAAAAAAAAATTTATTAAAAATTTTTAGTTTGAAACTTTTGTTTACAACAAACATTCTTAATTTTATTAAATATTAAAATTTTTTGTAAGATTGAAATTAAATTTTACAAATAATAATATATTAGTTTAGTGGTGTTATAAAATTTATATGTTTTTAATTAAAATAAATAAATAATTTCTAAATAAGTTTTTTTAATGTGATTTAGGCCAGTAACGTTTTGTTTTGTTTTAATTTATAAAATATGTTTAAAAACTTACTAAGAAAAATAAAAACAATTACTTTAGAGCGCAAAAATATAATTAAGTAGTAATTTAAAATAATAAAATATTACAAATTGTATGTTTATATTTTAACAAAAAATTTTTATTTTTTACATAATTTGATTCATTCTTGTAGATAAAACTACTTGTCAAATAATTATTTTGCACTGTAAGCAATTAGATGTCTCATTTAAATATTTTATAATAAATAAACCCATATTAATTCCAACAATTTTGTTTAAAAATTTATTGACTGTTTGCAAATTTATTAAATATTGTGCAGCTTCTACACTTTGCTAATTATAAAATTTAATAATCTTAAAATAATTCGGTTATATTATTATTTTCATACAGCGTTGAAAATAAGATGAAGGTTTAAAATATTGTAAATATTATAAGAATACAACACTAGTCTTTTAATAGATCATACATGATTTATTATAAGATTAATGTTTATGTGTTGTAGTCTTATATAATTTTAAAATAAAAAAATTTAAGTTTTTTAATAGCAATTCTTTTAGATGCAACAGTAACTATCTTTACTTTATAAAATAATAAAATTTAATATATTACAAATTATTTAAAACTATAACACATTAACAAATTTTATTTAAAATTTTAAAAATTAGTGAAAGATAAATCTAGTACTTTATAAAACATTATTGTTTAATGATAATAGTTCAATAATCCTCACCCTTCATTATGTAATATTAGGATATTTAACAGCTACCTTTGTATACCTTTATTTTTTACCCCATCATTTATGCAAAACAGGATAAATGCACAAAAAAAGATAAATGTAGAAATCCGCATAAAACCAAGTATAGAGTCATCACTAGATACCACAAATACTTCTCTACAAGTAGGTACTAAAAAGTACCATTTTAATAAAGTGCATATTACTACCACACAAAAACAATTATTTGATTATAGTGTTATGCCTTTAATAAGTCAATTTCTAGATGGTTACAATTGTACTGTACTAGCATATGGACAGACAGGTTCTGGTAAAACTTACACTATGGGAATAAGTCATGATGATACATCTGGTATAGTCCCACAAACTCTAGGATATCTTTTTAGTAAGGATTGTACACTGACTTGTACTTTTATAGAAGTTTACAATGAAGAAGTAATAGATCTTCTTACTGAGCACAAAGTGCCATTAAATTTAAGAGACAATAAAGGGGATGTTATTGTAGCAGGTGTACGAGAAATATCCCTAAATAATATTAATGAATCATTAGAAATATTAAAAAAAGGATGTTTAGAAAGAACTACAAAAAGTACAAAAATGAATTCTCAGTCTTCTAGATCGCACGCCATTTTTACAATATTTTTTACAAAAAATAATATAACTTCTAAATTTTCATTTGTAGATCTCGCAGGATCAGAAAGATTAAAACGAACATTGTGTACAGGAGACAGGGCTAGAGAATCAATATCCATTAATGGAGGACTACTTGCATTGGGGAATGTTATATCGGCCTTGTATCTAAAAAAGCCACATATACCATTTAGGGATAGTAAACTTACGAGGATTTTACAGTCCTGCCTTAATGGGCATGTTTTAATGATAGCATGTGTCAGTTCTTTACACACAGATATTAATGAAACGAATAATACATTAAAATATGCTAATAGAACAGCCTCTATATCAATGACAGTCAAAAGAAATGTAGAAATAGATGTATCAAAATATGAATTAATTAAATTAAAAAAACAGATTATAACACTTACAAATGAAAATCAGATTTTAAAAGAGCGAATTAAAAAAGTCAATTATGCGAATGTTGAAGAGCTTATTAAAGAAAATCGACGACTTAAAAATATGATTGATAATGAAATTAGTAATCGAGAAAATAGTAATAAGAGTGAAGATTTAGCACAAGTGATAGTTAAACATCCATTTGTACAAAATTTAATGAATGAAAATGAACAACTTAGATGTAAATTGTTAGAGCAAGAAAATTGTAAATTAAAATTTAATGATGTATTTAAAGAAAATAATGTACAAGATAATTTAGAAAAGGTACAAAATGTAAATGAAAGTAATAGTTTAGTCAGTAATTTACAAGATAATTATGTAGAAGATAATTGTATTGTCAATAAAACATTAAGAAACAATATTCAACACGATATTTTAAATAAAAGTAAAAATGATACAATAAATAAAAAAGATGATATAATAAATAAAAGTAAAAATGATACAATAAATAGCGAAAAAGATGATATAATAAATAAAAGTAAAAATGATCAAATAAATAAAAAAAATGATATATTAAAATCAAAAAATAGTGAAAAAGATGACATATTAAATAAAAGTCCTAAATCTAATATGATATCATGGTGTGATAATAAAAACATTAACAATGTCTCTAAGATACCTAAACGTGTTACATTCGATATAAGTCCTCCTAAGAAGAAAAGTTCTTTATGGACACCAAGAAAAGAGAGAGTGCTAATGGATACATCTGTCATAGACAAGTTTACAGGGTACATAGCCCACAATATGGTAATATATCAAAATAAGCTTGTTTTTTCATCATTCGACAATAAGCTAAGAATAAAAGATCCAAATGGGGATGTTTATGACTTATTTACAGATACAGGAATTAAATGTATTTACAGTGATGATCTTATTTATTATTCCACCAGAATGATTTTAAAACAAGGAGATCCTCGATCTAAAACTGTCATGCCTGTGTATGCCTATAAAAATGAAATAAGTTGTATTTTTAAGAATGAATATATTATTTTTACAGGACATGAAGATGGCACCCTTAGTTGTGTAGATTTAAGAAATATAAGTTTACAAAGTGATAAAATTCATTCTAGTACCATTTTTACAATGGAACTTCTTAATAATGTTTTGTATACTGGCAGTAGAGATCACACTATAAAAGGAAATGTATTTAACATAAATCAATCAGTAAATAATAATTTTATAAATAGAAAGACTTTATATCCACCACATTATGATGCAGTACATTCTCTTTTAAATTATAAAGGAGATCTAATAAGCCTTAGTAGAGACTGCTCTCTAAAAAGATGGAGAGATGGATTAATAATTAAAACAGTGCCTAATGCACACTCTTCGTGGATAAAATGTGGTACGTCATTACAGGATTGTTTTGTTACTGGATCCAAAAATGGTACCTTAAGATTTTGGGATTATTGTGAAGATAGTGTGTTTTGTGTAGGAAGTTATAAAACAGGGCAAATTAACTGTATGGTGAAATGGAATGAAGGAGTTTTTGTAGGATCACAGAATAAAGAAATAGTATATCTTATAAGTAAATATAAAACTTAACTACTAGATACATTTTGATATAGAACTTATAAATTATTTTTTATAATTAACTAAAGCTATGCTTGAGAATTAATAGTTTTTGATTTTTAAAAAACAGATTGTATTTATAAACATACACCCTTTACTGGACTGTATTGGCTTACTAAAAATATCCTTAACTTGTATATTTAAAAAATAGATTGTATTAATTAACATACATCCTTTACTGGATTGTATTGGCTTACTAAAAATATCCTTAACTTGTATATTTTAAAAAAGACGAATATTAAAAAAAACAAATGTGGTTCAATTCTTAAACAATTAGGCCTTTAAATTTGAATATCTTTTATTAATTTAGTCATAAAATACCATATTTAATACAATTTCAATGTATGATAACATTAATATTCCTCTTTTATGTTTTTTTTCGGTTAATTCACTTTTCAAATCCTGTTCTAAAATACTGTTAAAACTTGAATTTAAAATACCGATTTTTTTTTGTAATATTTTAACCTTAGGTACATCGCCTGGTTTAAGTATTTTAAACTTGCACATCAGTAATTCAACAGCATTCGCAAAAAATTCTTCTTTATGACTATAAGTAAAAATCTCATCTAATAAATAAAGCATTTTATCAATACTTTTAATCATAAATTCTTTTTTTTCTTCACGAGAAAAACCTTTATATGATTTGCTTGCATATTCATTAAAACAATCTATAAAATATTTCTCTAATATATTTCTTGGTATTTTGTAAATACAATAATAAGCTTTAGCCATAAATACGAATTCTTCCTTAGTAAAGTTAATTTTCTCATGTATTTTTTCATATGCTTCAAATGCAATATCAGTATCAAATTTATCTAATACAGTATCTTTTAGAGATATTTTAATTAATGGATTTGAATGAGGCTTAGAGGTACTAGAATATTTAAGAAATACAAATACTAAAATTGTTATTGATACTAAACATATTGATAAAATAATAAATCTCTTTTTTGATAACATATGTGGGTAAAAAGTATACTTTTAGCTTATTTAAAAAAGGGGGATAAATAAAAATTATTTATGTTTTCTGTTCTTGTTGTTTAGAAAGTAAAGTTTTTCTTAAAGATAAAATTTGTTATTTATTTTTAAAATCTTGTAAATAATTTTAAATAAAAATAATTAATAAGCTATACTCGAAATTATATTTGCATTTAAACTTATAAGTGCTGTGCTTTTGCAGAAATTTCTTAGTTTTAAAATAAAATTCATTAATACTTTTAATCGGGAAATGGTACATTGCTAGCCCGTTTGGGCCTGGAAGACTTAGAAGAGGTACTTATAAATGACATTCTTATTTATTTAGGATTTCTTTTTATAGTTTTACATGAAACATGTAAACAAACAAACAACAAGCTTAAGACATCGCGGTTTCATTCGTACCTGAAATTACTAGGTGTTTAACACCCAATACTTTTATTAATATTATTTGTAATACCTGAGTGGATGTCTTAATCCCCTGTTCGTTACGTTAAAATTTCGACTTACGTTTTTTAATAAAATCCAGCCCTTCTCGTTTTTATGTTACCTTTATTTTATTTCTTTTTTTAACTTTATTTTTTGTCATAGAAGACAAGGCTATGACATTAAAATTTTTAAAATAAATTTGTTATCAGTTACTGTAAATAATTAATATTACCTTTAAATTAAACGTTATGATACAAATCAATCTCAGAAACACACAAGGGTTCTAAAGTAAAAATAAAACTAAAGAAAGTTGGATGTAAATTAATATGTTAAGTAAAAAGCTCAAATTACTATTTTTATAATAAAAAGGTAATAGTAAAATACCCATCTATGTTTTAATATCAGTATTTCAATTATGAAGAATAAAATATAGAATATTGAGCTATAAAAAATATGGAGAAATATCCAATTTGTGAGATTTTTAAAAACTCAGAAATAATTTTTTTTATCTTGCCGCGCCCTTGTGGATACAATCCGCATTTGTACAATCTTTTAAAATATTTTACTTTTTATTCTACTATAGTTGTATGTGGTATCACATTAACCAGGAATTAAAGAATTGTTTTATTTATTGGTGGAATGTTTCGATTACTTTATTTTTTCGAGGATTTACGTTGTAATCCTCAAAGATAATTAGACTTAAATAAGGAGTAAAACTATATAAAAAAATTTTATATATTAAACATGTTCTGTGTTACTTATTTTTCATAAATAAAACAAACACGGTAAACATCACCTTCTCTAAAAATATCTTGTGATCAAGAGTTAAGAATAAATACTAATCCATAAAATCATGCCAATAAAATTTCTTCTTTTACTTTTTATTATCAAAAAAAATTTTTCTTTAAATTTTTATTTATACAGTTTATTTTTAATCTAAGATTGCTGAAGTATATAAGCTTTAGAATAAAAAATTTTTTCTTTGTCATAAATTTAAACATTTTTACGGCCAAAGATGAATACCACTTTGATTTAATAAATCACAAACACATAAATAGCAGCTTGTAACGAGCATAAAATAAAGAAGCACCACAGTAAACAACCAGAGTTCAATATTCTACTAGAATATCAAAAGACATTAGACAGCCAGCAAATCTTACTGCCAGGCATGCATTTAATTCTCCTGATAAAATAGTAATTTTTAAAACTTTAACATACTGAACAATTTCACAATTGTGCTGGAAGATAGAAAACTGTATTTAATAACTATGAACAGTTTTTTCTTTTTCAAACAGGAATATAAAGCAAATACGTTTTTGTTTTATATTGTTTTAAAAAAATATACAGCATTGTATGAAACATTATTAAAATTTTTTAATGATGAAAGAATAAAAAGCTACAAATTAAAAAATTTCTCTTGGTTTTAAAAGTTCTAGTTTTAAAGCTATTGAAGTGTTATGTTTAAATTTTTAATTATTAGCTGTTGTTTTCACCTAGGTCAAAAAATTTGGCAAAGAATTGGATATATAAGTTTAATAAATTATTGTAAAATTTCATATTGGTTATAAAAATAATGCTCACCTTATTTTTTATAAAGATGTAATAATAATAGCAAATAAAGTTTAAATCCATCTACATAAGTTGAACATTTAATACGCAATTCCTCTATTTTTCTGATTTGCAAGGCAATTTTTATAACAAAAATACCGGTTTTTAATGTGTATATAAAAAAATTGTTAAATTACCAAAAATAACCAATTTACTAGAAGCATATTACAGATACCTAAGTTCACTAGTGAAGAGAAAACATACTCAGCTTATTAAAATTGTTAATAAACCAAGAAAATAAGTCTTTGTGTCGGAAATCTCCAAGCTGGTTAATTGTATTAATTAAGAAAATACTATAAAATACGCAAGAAAGTTTAAGAATAAAATTCTTATGAGTATGTTATTATCTAATTGCTAAAAATTTTTAGTGAATATTTAAATTAATTTTTTATAATAAAGATAAAAAATTCTGATTAAAAATAAGTCTAACGGTAAGTGCATTATTTTAAAAATTTTTAAACTTCTAAATAATTATAATTTAATTTATTTGATTTCACTAATATTTTGAAATCATTTACTAAAAGAAAAACTTTGCTTATATTAATTGGTTGTTTAGGTATTTAAACTCTAAGAAAGACGTTGTTCACCATTTTTTTTAGAGGATTTTTTTAATATAAATAAAAATTGTAAGAGAGCACTTTTCAATAAAAATTCTTTATAGTCATTTACGTGACATGCAAGCTATGCATCTGCTACCAGAATGTAATTAAGTAAAAAACTTTTTCGATTAAAAAAAAACTTGGCACTTTTAATTCACCTCTAAATATCAGTATTAAAAAATCAAATGCTTTTCAACACCTATTTATACTGATTTAAGTTTGTTCTTATAGCAAAAGTTTAGCGCAAGGTTAACTTTTGCCTTTCCTTAGCTCAATGTACATTTCTAGTTGTTTCTCTGACACAAATTTTCTTAATTTTAATTCATATTAAATTGCTAAATTAAACTTTATTATTACCAATTTATAAAGGCTCAAAATACATATTATTGGTCTAGAAACTGTATTTGAGTTTTTAAGATGTAGATAGATACTTAATTTGGTACTAATCGTTCCATCTGTGCATAATTCGGCTGTAAATTTTAAAAATATGAGTATAATGCTGTAGTTTTTTATTAAGCAGCTAAAATACTTACAAACACTGCTAATTATATTTATACAAATAATATATAAGATTTTCAAATGAATCTTAGTCAGCAATTTATAACAATTTCTGATTCGTATCCGCTATGTATTCATTCACCAATTGTTTATCAAAAAAAGTTGTCTTTTTCGCCGCCATTCCACAACGTGTTCCAAAATTGACAAATTTAGTTTATAAGACGACTTCTGATTCTATCTTATTTTCGTTTCCAATTTTTTGTTCTAAGATTTTCTTAAATAGAGTTCAAATTTCTATTAATGTTTCTAAAATGTAATAATTTCTTATAACATTTCAATTTTTTTGACATATAAAAATCTCCTCACTTAATCTACTTTTAAACATTCGATGTCTTTTAAATATATTAAATTTTTTTATTGGAACTCTTTGCTTAGCTATACTATTTGTGTAGATTTTTTATTAAACTAAGTATAATTAAATTTTTTTGTTTAAATATATTTTATAATTAAAAATAAATATTTCTCATTTATCAAATTTTTTTAATTCTTTGTATTTAAATGTTTAAGCTATGCATTTTAAAAATTTTTGTGCATGTCAAACATGTTTTAGAGGTATTTTACAACATGTTCTCCTACAGAAATGTATGTGTGTTTAAAAAATTTTAATTTACGCTGTCTCTTAAAATTTTTGAGTTCATATGCATTCCAAGACATATTTTAATTTCGATAGTCTCTTCTAATTTAAGATAATACCTTTACTTAAAAAGATATCGTTCATTATTTTGGCATGTTTTATCTTTAAATATTTCAGTTGAGATTTTATTGTTATATTTATAATTAAAATTTTTTTTCAAAGATCCTTTGTTGAAAATTCTCTTACTCTCTTGATTTAATTATTCGTCAATACTTCAGTTATATTTTTTATTAAACCCTTAATTTGCTATTGCACTACATTCTTTTGGCATCCTGTAATTTTTTTTACTTTAATAGCTTTCCTGAAGCAGAATTCGTTTAATTCAATTGAAATTACAAAGCATTATTTTTTATAAAAAAATTTATATAGAAAAAAAGGGTTTTAAAAACTATGCATATTCAATTTTAAGTGAAGGGTAAATTAAGCAAGCTAGCACCAAAATCAGGCACTAAAGCCTTTCAATTTTAAGAAAAATTTTATTCAACGTCTGAAATTATTGTCCTAATTAAATATTTATCTAAGCATGATAACATTGGTAAATTCTTTTCTGATTTCTTTTCGATCAATTTACTTTTTAAATCATCTTCTAAAAGGGTGTTCAAACTTGTATCTAGATGACCGATAAATTTTTGAACAATTCTAACAAGCTCGACGTTTAAATTTTTAGGCAAGTACGTTGAAATCATAATGTATACAACAGAATCAAAAAATGTTTCATCTGTGTAATGGGTGGAAAAAACAGACCTTAAAGCATCTTGAACATGGTAAACGTACTCATTTACGTCTTTTTTTAATTCTTCGGGAGAAATTTTCTTTGCTTTTGACTTGAAACGCTCAGTAAAAACATCAAAATAATACTTTTCTAGTACATCTCTTGGTATTCTAGAGACACAATACATAACTTTAGCTATAAACACGAAATCTTCTTTTTCATTTAAGGGTGTAAAAAATCTTTCTGAGTATACTTTAAACGCAATATCAGTATCAAATTTATCTAATACAGTATCTTTCAAAGATATTTTTTTAAACGTATTAAAGTACGGTCCAAAAATATTAGTGTATCTAAGAAGTATAAATATTAAAACTATTGTTGATAGTAAACCTATTGATAAAATATACCAACTCTTTTTTGATGAAATATACATATATGGGTAAATAGGATAGTTATAGCTTATTTAAAAAAGGATACAAAATTAAATTTATTTGTTGTTTATAAAAAATTTAAACTGTTAAAAAATATGTGTAAATTAGGAGCAAAAATTTAATATTTATACCTCAAAATTCCTGTAAAAATTTATAAAGAGATTTTGCTAGTGAAATAATCGTTAGAATAATTAATAATTATTTTTCATGTCAATAAGTTATTTAAATTTGTCTCTATGGACAATGTTAATAAAAAGCGTTTTCTTATGATATTTATTATTAGTCGTTGTCATTTATTGTTATTACACCCCTAGAATAAATTATTAAATGCGTGGTGTATAATTTAACATGTTGGGTGAAAGACACTAAATTAATTAAATAACTTATTAGTTTATTTACACAAAAGCCACTATATGTCATAATCGCGCACCGATGACTTGGCTTTAAATAAAAAATATGGGTTTTTTTAAGGAGTCAAACTATTTGTGAAGAAATTTTTTAATAAAATACGTTTAGTCAAAATAGTGATTATAACTTAAACAACATAATTAATTAAGAAACGATTTTAATACTATAAAAATCAGGCATTATCAACACACCTATGACATTGTATTAGAAACAATTTAGAATGAATATTATTACAGAAATCCAGTTCAAAATAAAAATAGTTAAATTTAAAAAATATTAAGATTTTTTATGTAATGTAGTAGGGGATATCACGACTTCTTTCTAAAACAATCCCGCACGTTTTTTCAACATATAATTTTACAAGTTTATAAATTGTTTTTCGCATTGAAATTAATCTTTTTTTAAAATCTTTCACATCTTAAGTTTTAAACACTTACAAGTTTGTTAAAATATATGCATCTAATCAGATAGTTACTGTGAACGCAATGTCGGGTTGTGTTAAAAATGCTTTCTTCCTTCTCTTCTATATCTTTCATTTGATGTTTGAATGTTTTAAACTAGAGAACATTTGCAAAAAAAATTACAAATTTATAAAAACATTTTACAACAAATGCAAATACGATCAATTTATTAATATTTACAATGAAGTTAAAATTTTTCAAAGGAAGCTAATAACAATTTGTAATTGCCGTATTTAGGTAGTAACGTGTGCTTGTTGAGGAAAGAAATGTAGATTGATATTTTGTAAAAGTTAGTCATTTAAATAGATATATTTATTTAATAAAACTTTTTTATATTAGTGCGAAAACATATTGGTTTTAGAGAGAACCAATAAACTTAGTCGGGGTTGTTATAATTATTTCGGTGTAAATGATTGGCCATTAGTTTGAAGCGGGATAGTAATAAAGAGCAGTTTAATGTATAGAAAGGGCTCGCTGCTTTGCGATTAATTAAAAACATGCAAATTTGCTTAAACCTGTAGAAATAGAACACGGATTATTTTTGAATTTAATTAAAAACGAAAAAGCCCCGAATTAAGAATTATTTTTAATAAATACAATGTTCATCAAGTATTATAATAAAGTTCACTGTATTAAAGTCCTAAATAAAATCATCTTTAAATTTTGTAGATCAAATAATTCCGATATTTATACTTAAACGTATAATGTATGTAAAACCATGTTAAATCCAAGTTAAGTGTAGAGCATGGAAATCATAGACGCCTTCTGGATAAATATATTGAAGATTTTATGTTTAAATATGCTCATACTAGAGATAAATAAGATTTTTAATGCTTTTTTAGTGATTGCTACGTTAATATAATTATTAAATTCGTTTTTTATTAAACTTTGAACTTTTTAAAAATATCCTCTGTTTTAAAATACCTAAAAAAAATTCCTTTTTTACGATTTTTAGGTTGCACTTGTCACATTTTTAGCAATTGACTATGTTGATGCAGTAAAAAATAGTTTTTAATTACTATAGAAATAATTAATCTTTCAGTACTAATAAACTATCTTTTATCAATTAAAAAGTATATAAGAAAATTTTTAAATAAACATTAATTTTTTATGAAACCTTTTAACAATAACCAAAAATCTTTTTTAAGAGTAAATATAATCGTGGACGATTAAGAAAAAGTTAATAGTTTATTGAATCTTTTAAGGTAAATATTTAAATATTTTGTTTTTTACGCATAAAATAGAAATTAATATTTTATAGCGAAAATTATCTAAAAAAATGATTTGAGCATTGTTAGTGCAGTGGTAACATGTTCGTCCTTATGCTTAAAGGATGCGGGTTCAAATCCCGGCAATGCGAATCGTCAAAAACAAGTTGTTTAGGCGTTGACACCAGCAATAGTCAATAAAATATGCCGGTAAAGTCGTACCGTAAGTCTATATGGCGTCGATTAAAAAAAA